TGAAATGAACAGGAAATTGGAGGAAGGTAGAATTAGCGATAACTTTACCTACTGCTTAAGCAAACTTGGAGAAAACAAGGATACAGCAAGACCAGCAAAAGGAGACGCTTGGATCAAGGATCTACCGCTAATCGGAGGAAAAGGGATGGCGATGAAGAAAGTGGGGGACGTTGTCAGTGAGTGATGTCCGTTTCGAATAAACCCGTACAACTTTGGGGACCTGGCAGTCAGGGAGCTGGGCGGACGGATAAGCAAACTGTCCCATAAATTCGACGTTATGGCCAAAATGTACTAGAAATCGACTTGAGATGCCGCATCCGACTAGAGATAGGCGTCCACAGTTTGCTCATGTAAGACGGATTCGATCACGGAGACGACCCGTGAAGGCAATGCTTGAGATCTGCGAGCTTGGGAATCACGGTCTTGGCGCTCTACTCTACGAGGCGGTAGTGTACGTGCATCTAGGCCCTTGAGAAATAGCGCCTGGAGTGAAATGCCCACAGGGACTGGAACCGAGTGAAATCGGTCAACCCAAAAGATAACGAACGGACTTACGGGACCATGAGGCGATCCTGATTGGAGGCCCGAATCGGATCAGCTGATAGAAAGAGATGGGTTCGGGGTGAATAGCAAGTTTGATGAGGCCACACTAGATTTGCCACAAAAGGGTACACATTTTGACGAGTGGAATGTAAACGAGTGAGGAGTTGTGATAGGGTGGGAGTTGGATAAGAGGGTAAAGAGTTGATAGATAGTCCAGGGCAGAAAGAGGAGTGGTAATGTAACCGTTTTTGGCAGAACGTTTGTCGAGGAATTGACTTCACCTGTCTCTGACGTGTTGGTAGCTTGGTGCAGAGAATGGCAACATTCACTGATGCATTCGACTACGATGCCGGCGAAACGTTTAAGAATGTACCAAGTCCACTGTCTGATGCTGAGAATCATAACAACTACTATGGCAAACGACTTCGGACTAGGTGCGCTCTACCAAGTCGTCCTGACAACAAGACCAATTTGCGACAACGAGGTCAACCCACTTATATAAAATATTTTGGTGTTAGTTCGGACTTGTTTTCACAAATGGCTCAAACCGACACTATACAGCTAAAGCAGACTGCGACCAAACAAAAGGCCACCTCATCTTTGTCTACAAATGTGCAAAAATGTCTAATTTTATGAATAATAATTAAAATAACGACATTAAAAACATCAGTAGAAGTGGTCAATAAAAACAGAAAAGCCTGACCTAACCACTATTTTTGTGACGTCTCCCGGACCACCCGGACCAGCCAGCTGCCTACTGATGGCTCTCAGCCATGCCTGTGTCGTGCTCACCCCGGAGTTGGGGTACTCCACGCCACTGGTCAAAACTGTCGATCCAAACGAGCTCGTTTGAACTGCAAAGACGTCACTAGGTTTGATCGGAGGGCGCTTAGCTGAGGGGTTGGCAAGCCGATAGCCAAGTTGAGATTCGCCAACCTCCTCGACATCCAAGCCAAAGCCCGAAGTGGTCGCTTGAGACAGAGCCGGCGGAGACTGTTCTTGAGCCCAACGCTCGGCTAGCCAGCCAGTCACAATGAGGCATTCGATCAGCTGATTTAACAGCACCGGTAGGAACTGGATCACTTGGGTCGTGTCGACGTCGGGTATTAACTTGATGGCATTACACAAATGAATGCCGGCATTTGGGCCCGAGAAGGGATCCATCGAGTCTCCAGATCGGCTTCCCAGCGTGTTCGTAGAGCAATATTGCCTCTGCTGACCAATACCATGGGGCAATTTGAGATTTCCGCCTCCACCTGTTTGGGAGGTGGAGGGGTCATATGCGGACTGGATACGAGGAGTATCAGAGACGGGAGATACAGGATCCGTCAATCCATCCACCTTGAAGCTGACAACAGAGGCTCGAGCAGCCGGCTGACGAGATTTAAAAGCAGACCGAGATAAGAAAAGGCGGATGTGAGATAAAACATGATGTGGCGCATGAGTAAGCTATTCAAATAAGGTACAACTAATTAAAGGAATGGGGCAGAATAGACAGCTAAAAAAAGATCCGCCAATTTTAAGTAAGTAGCTAATAAATGCAAAGATAGACGTACAACGACTAAATGTACGTATAGTTGTAGGCTTTGGAGATATGAAAGTTGATTTTAAAATTAAATAAATTCTAAAGCGGATAGAAAGAATGTTGTTATTGTGTAGCTCATAGATGTGGCATTAGTGGCCTTCCAGATAAAAATCGAGGGGTGTGATGAAGGGAAGTATAATAAGATGTGTTCACCCTATTTCGTCTAAGGTGATGAAGGACTGGTAGGAGAAGAATTTTCCCACAATGATATGCGTTGAGCTGACGTTTCCATTGAATTTCACATAGCCTTGCTTTCCCAA